TTTTACATGTGTGCCCTTAAAACATGGAGGTGGTGAGGGTGGAGCACCTGCCATGGAAAATGATGAAGGCACCAAGGTGGGCAGCACAGTGGCTAAGTGGTTAGCACTTCCAAGACAAATTGTAGAGAGCGCTCTTGTATGAACATAGCAGCTAGAACACTTAAGGCGACCACAATGCCTTTAAATGTAAAATATAAACGTAAATAATATAGTGCAGCGCTTAAAATTAGAATCAAAATGTAGCAAAAGAGCAAAAAGCAGCAAATAAAAGTCAATTAAGTATCCACAGTGCTCTCTAGAATGGTGAAAATATCCAGAGCTTTTCTGCCTCAAATGATAGAAATGCGCACTCACCAGAAACGCATGGATTATGTGCATGTAGGAATAATCATCCTAGACCAGAAACTCTAACCCTGACCTACAAAGCCATTCATAACACTGCCCCTGACTACCTCACCAACCTGATCCCCAAGTACCACCCTACCCGTACCCTTCGCTCCTCACAGGACCTCCTTCTAGCCTGCTCCCTGGTCTCCTCCTCCCATGCACGACTGCAGGACTTCTCCAGGTCCTCCCCTATCCTCTGGAACTCACTGCCCCAATCCATCCGACTGTCGCCTTCCCTCCCCACATTCAGGCGCTCCCTCAAAACCCATCTCTTCAGGGAAGCCTACCCCACCCTCACCTAACGGCCATCCTCCCTCATTCCTCCCACCACTTCATCCCCCTCAGCCACTTCATTCCCCTCAGCCACTTCCCATTGTTCCACTACCCCCTCCCTCCTAGATTGTAAGCTTGAAAGAGTAGGGCCCTCTTACCCCTCGTACGCTGTCTGTTTTTGTTGTACTGTGCCATGTATTGTCCCCCCTATTGTACAGCGCTGAGCAAACCCTTTGGCGCTATATAAACTCGATGTAATAAATAAATAATAAATAAATAGATGTTAGATCCGTCAAAGACCAGGTGGTAGGCATCCTTCTCATGGTGGGTCATCCAGAGCTCCAATTCAGGTCCAGAGATCCCCTTAAGGTCAGCCAGGTAATACTCTATGGTGGTGATGATCCCTCTTCTAGATGGTACAGGCACCTTCTCTGTGGGGGTAATAGCTCCACACAGGAGCCCCAAAAACAGGTGCCAGAGATAGTGTAGTATGTTCCCAAAAAGTATTTATTGGTAAGGCAAAAGCAGGGTAGTATGCATATCACAAGAACTGAATATCAGTGAAAAAAGCAATACTGACCCCAACAAAGATGGCCGCCGGGCCTCCTCGTGGCTCCGGCGGTGAAATGACGTCACGCTCTGCACAGCTCCTCCTTAGGCCTTTCGTGCTATAGGCACATCATCAGAGGGGAGGCTGTACAGAGGCGTGACCGACGTCAGAGGTTTATATAGGGGAAGACGGCGCGTGCGCAGTTAGCTGCGGCCATCCTCCCGAAGTTTCGGACAGTGCGCATGTGCGTATATGACGGCGGGCAGTACTAGGGTCGTTGGTTCGAATCCCAGCCTCGGCTCCACCTGCCTGGAGTTTGCATGTTCTCCCTGTGCTTGTGTGGGTTTCCTCCGGGTACTCCGGTTTCCTCCCACGCTCCAAAGACATGCTGGTAGGTTAATTGGATCCGTCTAAATTGTCCCTAGTATGTGTATGTATGAATGTGAGTTAGGGACCTTGGACTGTACGCCCCTTGAGGGTTAGGGACTGATGTGAATGTACAATATATATGTAAAGTGCTGTGTGTAAATTGACGGCGTTATATAAGTATCTGAAATAAATAAATAAGGTGCTGACTTGCAAAAAAAAAAATGGGCCTGCCTTTTAAAGGGAATCTGTTCCAATGTTGAAGCTGAACCCCAGCCCTGATTTTCAATCTTACACCATTGTATGGGCTCCTCTCCTGTACTGAAATGGCTTAAGCTACTCTCACACTGCTCTGTATGAAAACGCAGCAAAGACGCATATCTGTTTTTCCTGCCTTGCGTTAAATTGAATTTTTGCGTTTTCCACATATCACTTTCCACTATTCGAATGCGATTTGCACGCGATTATTGATGCGACTTTAGAAGTTCTCAAGCCCAGGTGCACAGAGTTGCATGTCAAGGGAAATCACATTATATTCTGAATTCAGTGTGATTTCAGCCCCATAGACGTCTATGTTAGCATCAGCATAGATAAGAAGCATTCCTATGTGACTTTGAAGGATCAGTGGCTTTTTTTTGTTTTTTGGGGTTTTTTTTTTTTTTCAACTCTCACGTTTCCTCCCCGGTTATCTTTGCTGCCTTAAAGCGGAGTTCCACTCACCCTGTCAAAAAAATAAAAGACAGCAGCTACAAAAACTGAAGCTGCTGACTTTTAAAAAACAGCCACTTACCTGTCCCTCGGTATGGTCCCCCACAGCCCGTTTCACCAGCCGTCCTGTATTCCAGGCGCCGGCATCTTCAGTGTGGGCACTCGGCTGTGATAGCTTGCGGCTTCACAGCCGGGTACCCACTGCGCATGCGCGAGTAGTGCTGCGCTTCATGAATGGTCCTGTAGTCTTCTGGGACCTGTCACATGTCCCAAAAGACTACAGGGAGGGAGGACACCTTCCGTTTCCAATAGCCTAGGCGATCGGACCGGAAGTGGGAGCGGGTACCTGTTCGGGTACCTGCAAAAAACTCCTCAGCCGCTGCTCCGTGTGTCCATTCACACATGGAGCCGTGGCTTGGCCCCGCTCACTCTCTCTTCTCATTGGCTTTGATTGACTGTATCAGCCATTGAGGAGATGTATACTAGGTGATCGGACCAGAACTGGGAACGGGTACCTGTCAAATTCGGGTACCCGCTCCTCCCCCCTGCCCCACAAAGGTGCCAATCCTTATTGGGGAGCGGGGGAGCAGTCCTTAAAGAGGAACTTCCCCTTTTGGGTGGAGCTCCGCTTTAAGGCTAGGATCAAGATCGATCTTTGAAGGAAGGGTCGACCGATCAAAGGAAAAGGTCCAAAAGCTGTATCAAAATCGATGAAGGATGACCAGGGAGGAGAGGTGAAGGTTAAAAAAAACACGGAAAAAAAAAAACACAATCCATCAAAGTCGCAAAGGAATGCTCATTATGCTGATGCAACTTCTATGAGAGAACATAGAAGTCTATGGGGCTGAAATCGCACTGAAGTCCACCAGGAACCTTTCAAAATCACACTGCCGAGATGATTAAATGGGCACCACTGAATATAATGTGATTTCTCTTGTCATGCGATTCTGTAAATCCGGGCTTCAGAACTTCTTACAGGTGCATTCGTTTTGACACATTTTTCATGTGTGTTTTGATGCAGTTTCCATTCATTTCAATGGAGGGATGTGCTTTTTTTCTGGACCAAACATGCACCAAAAATGCAAAAAGCAGGATTTTTTTTTAAAGTGCAACTGAAGCGCAATGGACCGTTCTAAAGAGCTACAGAGGATTTAAAGTAATGAACCGCTTTTTTACTGAACAAAAACAGTTTGAAAGCAACCTTTCTCTGATTTCACTACACACTGTCAGCTTCTCACAATGTGCATTAGAAGCCGCAGTCAGATTCATTCATTGGTTTTCCTGGCTGGAGGACATCCAGCATCATCTAGTCCTTTCTTACCCAACCTTACTCTCCCTATCCCACCCCTTTCGTTCACTGGATATCAGTTCTCTCAATCATGGGGGCTTAGCATCACATGTTGGCGTTACCTAGGGCGGTCTGCATGCAAATGATGCCTGGCTAGCAACGGACACTTCTCCAGGCTGACGACCGCGCATCGTGGCATTTTGATATTTGCATATCTCCTCCCACTGCTTGCATCAGGACTGAGGGCCCTTGAGAGGAGTACTGAGGTGGGCTGCTGTGATGTTTTCAGGAAGCTATGTACAGCACCCTCCTGGCCCCTCCCACCAGCCATGATCTGTCTGATTTTCATAGAGAAGCATGGAGACCTAAATATCGCAATGAAATAAAAATAGAAACTTTTTGTTTTTCTTTTTTTCTTTCTCCTTAGCATGTTGATGAGGAGGAGAGGGAGGAACCAGAAAAAGGTCAAAATGAGCAGATGAAACTTTAGCTTTGAATGTTTCCTATAGCGCACTTGCCGTATAGCTTCCCTGCCAGTTAGTGATCCAGACCTGTAATTGCTGTGCCATGAAGCCATCACAAACAACTGAGAATCTCCCCCTACAAACCAATAACCTATCACCTACATTGCTCTTGGCACCTGTCACAGCAGACTTGCGCTCATGACAATTCTCTCACCCAAACAGCGGCCTACACGAGGGAGCCTCACATCCCCCTGACAATGGAAGGAAGAGGGTGTAGGAGGGAGGTTCACACGGCTGACCCCGGCATTGTTCACAGTCCTGGAAGAGAGCTTCCTCCAGACGAACGCTGACCACACAGCCTGCTCTCCAGCCAGGAGTCACGCCGAGTCACGTTGTCCCTCGCTCCTCAGTCACAACGCCAATAGGCCATTCACAAAATACCTGCCGATCATCACGTACACCCACCGAGGAAAGCAGTGGACTGCGAGGAAATCACAACAAAAAGGAACTGTTTTATGTCTGAATTGTTGTTTGGGGGAAGAAAAAAGGGTATTCTAGGGACACAGATCCTTCTCCAGCAAAGAATTCATTGGAATGACCTAATAAACATGTATGCAGAGCCAACACTGAATTCCAAGCTTTGGACAGAGTGGAGAGGGATTAAACACCTCTCAAGCTTCACTGCCATCTGTGTCTCTACAAGTGACAACTCATAATTGTGCATTGCCCATCCCTTTCAGACGGTAGTCACCGGGACAAATAAACAGCTAGTTTGTGATGGTGGCCATTGTCACCCGCCTTAAAGTGGCACTAAACCAGGGCTTAAAATTTCAAGTCCTGAGCTACTAGCCAGGCCTTAGAGTTACTCGCCACCAACAAACACACACAGAGACACCTGTACACACACACAGACATGTACATACACACAGACACATGTACACACACGCACAGAGACACATGTACACACACACACACACACATACATACAGACACATGTATACACACACAGGCATATACATACACACAGACACATGTACACACACACAGACACATGTACACACACACACACACACATGTACATACACACAGACACATGTACACACACGCACAGAGACACATGTATACACACACACACACACACACATACACACACACATGTACACACACACACACACACACACACAGACACATGTATACACACACAGGCATACATACATACGCACAGAAACACATGTACACATATACACAGACACATGTACACGCACACACACACACACACACACAGACACATGTATACACACAGATACATGTACATACACACACCGACACATGTACACACACGCACAGAGACACGTACAGACACGCATACACACAGATACATGTACATACACACACAGACACATGTACACACACACACGTATACACACACAGGCACGTACATACACACGCACAGACACATGTACATACACGCAGACACATGTACAGATACACACATGTACATACACACAGACACATGTACAACTGTACATACATACACAGACACACACAAACCCCCCATAAAAAGTTGCAGTACTTCGTTGTTCACTCACAGATCCGGGTACTGCACTCTAGGGGGAGGCAGAGAGCACAGCACACACTCTTTGCTTTGCTTTCACTGCGCTCAGCTATTGAGCAGTCTGACAACTCCCAGTGCCAATGACAGATCCGGCTTGAGCTTTGAGCCTGCTCAGCAAGATGGCCCTCGGGGACACACTCGCCCCCACCATAATTTCCACTCGCCATTGGCGAGCAGGCGAGTGGAAATTTCAAGCCTTGCACAAAACTATAGCCTTATTCTCCAAAAATAAGCCATACACATCCACTACTTGGGGAACCTGTAATCTATTTTCATGAAATTGTTTACTGTGCTTTTCTGCCTCCTTGTAATCGCTCAGTGACCTCCCAAACGTCTCCTTTTCCCCCTGACTTAGTTTTGTTTGCAACAAGAAGTCATGTACACTGCTCTACTCACATTGCACATCCCATCGTCCAAGGTCACCAACCTTTCTGGCACCAGGGGCTGCTTTCGTGCGAAAGCGCTTCAATCATCCCTCCCATGGTTGATATGGTCTCAGGATGAATGAAACACATTATTTCTACCATTACCATTGTGATATATAATGAAATACATCAACTCACCAGAATGCGGAATCAGTGTCACTTGCCACTGCAGCCACCAGATGCAGCTGGTCATTGAAGCCTACCACCACAGCTACCAGATGCAGCTTGTTACTGGAACCTGCCACCACAGCTACCACATGCAGCTCATTACTGGAACCTGCCACCACAGCTACAGATGCAGCTCGTCACTGGAGCCTGCCACCACAGCTGTCAGATGCAGCTCGTCACTGGAGCCTGCCACCGCAGCTGTCAGATGCAGCTCGTCACTGGAGCCTGCCACCACAGCTGTCAGATGCAGTTGTCACTGAAGCCTGCCACCGCAGCCACCAGATGCAGCTGCTCACTGGAGCATGCCACCGCAGCCACCAGATGCAGCTCGTCACTGGAGCCTGCCACCACAGCCACCAGATGCAGCTCCTCACTGGAGCCTGCACCGCAGCTGCCTGATGCAGCTCGCCACTGGAGCCTGCCACCGCAGCTGCCAGATGCAGCTCGCCATTGGAGCCTGCCACCACAGCTACCACATGAAGCTCGCCATTGGAGCCTGCCACCACAGCTACCACATGAAGCTCACCACTGGAGCCTGCCACCACAGCTGTCAGATGCAGCTTGTCACTGGAGCCTGCCGCCACAGCTACCACAAGCAGCGTATCACTGGAGCATGCCACCACAGCTACCAGAAGCAGCGTTGTCACTGGAGCCTGCCATCACAGCTGTCAGATGCAGCTTGTCACTGGAACCTGCCACCACAGCCGTCAGATGCAGCTTGTCACTGGATCCTGTCACTGCAGCCACTAGATGCAGCTTGTCACTTTGTAAGGATTTTTAAGGGCTTTGTGTGTGTGGCAAAAAAACCCCAAAAAGTTACTAATAACCATAAAGCCTCTCCCTAGCGCTAAGGTCTCTTCTTCTATGAGATTTTACAATCTCATGGAGGCAGACCTAACAGCAGTGGTTCGCGCGATGATGCTCTGGTCTCTGCTCCCCCGCCGCTCACCTCCTTCAGTGCAGCAAGGCATGGACCGGCACCAGTCCGCGGCCCGGGGGTTGGGTACCCCTGCTATAGTCCATGTCAGGAGCAAGCAAGAGAGGGAGGCTGCATACTTGCATACAGTGGGAATCATGGAGATTGAATTTAGCCACCCTCCAAAAAGAAGTCGGATCACGGCAAGAAAAAAAAAAGAAAAAAAAAGAATTTGGAATTTGGAGGAGGCTGAGAGCAAGTATGTATTCTTAACTCTTTAGTTAAGAAAATATACTTGAATAGAATATATATTTTTTTATATTTTTGTCACTTTAAAGCAAACACAACATTTTGAATTATCCCCAAAATAGCAAGAGAATGGAAATCTAACAGGGACGCCTATTGCAGTGACAACTGTCTAAGAGGGATTTCCTCACTTCCTGTTTGGAAATTTAGACACGGTTTTTAAAATCCCAATCTACCTGCTGCTACTTATCAACAGCACTGGTAGGTAAGTGCTTACAGAGACCGTCATCAACTTCAAACAGTGAAATATCGAGTATTTTTTAATTCATACTGGCAGTATTTCCCTTTACATAAATTATTTTTTTTTATATGCTTACAATGTGACTTACCCAACTGCAGCCCTGGAAAATTTTTACATTTTCACAAATATGTTAAATCATTTTTTATTTGCTAGAAAATTACTTAGAACCCGGAGAATAAAACATATAATATATAATAAAATTAAAAATTTATTTTTACACTTTTTTCACATTCAACTTTATTGCTCTCACGAAGGATATACAACATATCCTTGGGCAGCGACAGGTCCTCTTTATTGAGAGGTCAGGGATCTAGTGGATCCCTTATCCCTCCTCTGCCCTCTAAGGCAGCCAATTAAACAAAGTGTGGTTTGATCAGCTGCCTCCCTGGCCAATAAAAGCCAGTAAAGAACCAAACAGGAAGTGACAAAATCCTTGTTGCTTCTGGCTTCATTCATCACAGAGGAGGGGGAGGAGCGGATGTTCCTTCCAAACACTGCAAAGCCATTCAGGTCACCTTTACTGGAAAGCCATTGCTGGCTAAAAAAAAAAAAAAAAAAAAAATGATACCAGGATCATGGCTGCAGCTATGATTCTGGTATAAATGTAGAAAACATACCCCATCTCAACGGTTTCATTCAGATTTCAATGGCTGGAATGAATGGCATGTTTTGAGGAAGGACGTTGTGGCCGAAATGCGTTAGCATTTTACATACCAACGGCCTTCCTCAAAACATGCTGAGGAAGGAAGGCTGTTGTGGCCGAAACGCGTTAACATTTTAACACTATGTACCTTGATATGAATTTGCAGCAAAGAGATTACAGAGTTACCGGCTCCTTTACTATAGACTCATTATATTGGATATAGCATGTTTTGAGGAAGGCCGTTAGTGTGTAAAATGTTAACACGTTTCGGCCACAACGGCCTTCCTCATAGCATGTTTTGAGGAAGGCCGTTGTGGCCGAAACGCATTAGCATTTTACACACTATGTACCTTGATATGTAGCCAATATAGAATTTGCAACAAATAGATTACAGTGTTTCCAACTCCTTTACTATGATGCAGGTATAACCGCTTCCTCCCAGGGCCGTATATGTATATGTATATATATATATATATATATATATATATATTATTCTAAGGCCTGGAAGTGGTTAAACTTGCTAGAAAATCTCTAGATCACTGTATCTGTAATTACCAGGAGGAAGAGTGAAGGGGAATACTATACCGTGGCAATTGAGTGACAGCTCGAAGTCTGCTGGGGCAGCTGTCATCATACTGAAGACTGTAGTGCCCAGCAGCAGTCTCAGGGTTTTTGGAAGTCTACACAAAGGACATTTTTTATTTTTATTTTTTTACAGGTAAATATGTTTACAATACTGTAAATACACATGTAATCATACGGTAGGGTGGTTGTTAAAAGGCGTGCCTTGGCGATAGGGTCGTCTCTTTTACTGGCCATACACAGAAATGTGGCAGTACATAAGTTTATTACAGGTACTTACATAGCGCCATCAATTTACGCAGTGCTTTATATATTGTAAGTTCACATCATTCGTGCCTTTTGCTGTGTTGTGTTGGGAGTGTGCTCAATTACGCGCCTGCAGCACTGTGACCACGATGTCACTGACAGCTCAGAGTATAGATCTAGAGCCTTTTCCCTCCTAGATTGTAAGCTCCAAGGAGCAGGGCCCTCAACTCCCTCTTGTATTGAACTGTATTGTTGCTGTATTGTCCCCCACTATAATGTAAAGCGCTGAGAAAACCGTTGGCGCTATATAAATCCTGTATAATAATACTAATAATCTAGAGCCAGTAGGACAAGCTCCTGATTACGTGATCACTGTGACAGCCAATTACCTTGGAAGGAAAGAATGTCACCAGCACACCGAGGATCACCAATATGGGTACAAAGGTTTTAATAAACGATCACATAGTTACAGCAAAGGCAACGTTTCGGAGTCTCGCAGGACCCCTTCATTATCAGGCATGTGACCAGCCCATTACCTTGGTCACATGACTGGGTAGCCTATGAAATCAGCAGGCATGAAGTTTTTTTTTTTTTTTTTTAACCTTCAGCATTCAGGGGTTACACGATCTTTTTTTAAAAGCAGGAGAATTGAAATCACAATGGTTGTGATGTGCACCTTGTCTCTGCATCTGTCAATGGAGATCCAGGCCTGTCTTCACAAGGTATTTCCCAGGCGTTCCACGTGCTCTCCAGCACTGGGAAGGTCACATTCATCAGCTCCCCAACGATCGCCTTTACCTGGCGGCAGCAGACAGGAAGCGGGCCTCATACAGAAATCCCTGTGTGTGTTACATTGTAGCCGCATCTATTTATAAACCTGGAGAGGAAATGCTACGAGGAGAGGAGGGGGGGCGCGAGGACTTTCCTAGCCAGGGGACTCATTTCAAGGAGCAGGAAATGCCTCGCTGCATTATTTCCTCAAGTAAACTAGGAGCGTTACAACAAAGTGAAGAAATAGGTTTTCTCATGATAGATAAAATTGTGGATTTATTTCCCATTGACACAAACATGGCGGGGGAGGGGGCAGAGACAATGGGAAGTACGCAAGAACTGAGTCCCGCTCCACAACACAACAGGCTGGGAAAACGAAACAATAACAGACAATAAAAGAAGGCCCTTCAGACGAGAAGTCAAATCTGTGATCTCTCAATGCTTCTCAGGATAGATTACAACCGTGCCTCAAGTAGGTATAAACAGGACATACATTAAAGCTTGATATAGCACCGTCTATCACAGACATTGCTTTTCATGGCCGTTGTATTTCAGTGCTGCTGATCTTCTGCAGCCACTTTGTTTACTCT